CAAGGCATGTCCTTCTCAAGAGTGGAATACCTGAGACATTACTTGGTGTATGTAGGACACAGGAGAAGGGTGAGGCCGTGGGGGTGGGGGGGGATCATTTCCAGACTGTGACAGAGCAGGCATCTCTGATTCACCGTAGAATCACTGTCACTGAGATCAGAACCCCCACCGCCAGCAGATACGCCATCTTGCCTACAAGCTGCAAGCAGGTGTGATGTTCACCTTGCCTGACTCACAAAGCAGTTTCTCAAGAAATATTTCTTAAATAAGTGCCCTCCTTGGGCAAGACAGGTTGAACATCATCAAATCCTTGGGGCAGGATACTAATCTCTGGGTCACAGTTATGCTTATTATTTAGTGGTGTTTTATTCTCCTGGAAGGAGACACCTTGATGAATTGCAGGAAACACTCCATTCTCATCAGTCACATGTTTACACATACTCTAGCACGCCCCTCTTCCCGGCTTCCCCCCGCCACCCCCCGTTTTCTGTGTGACTGGCATTCCCCGGCAGGCTACAGAAGTCACAATGGCAATTATCCCCCGGTGACATTCTCTCTCCACAGCTGGCAGCTCTGGCCCTCTGCACAGAGGTCAGGAGCACCTCTTCCTCCGGAAAGCTGACCATCCTTTTGGTAGGTGTGCCGTTTCGGGTTCTTTCCCCGCCGGCCTGGAATTGAGTGTGGCCCTAACAATTTCAGCTGGCAGGTCCGCACACAGCTCGGCGGGTGCGGTGGGTCTGCGGGCTTCCCTCGGACTTAGCTTGATTCCAGCTGGATTGTCCTCAAAGGACAAAGCCATCTCCTCCGGGGCAAAGGCACTGGGCCAGAAGAAAAAGAGAAGCCGGCCGCCCGGTGTGTCGAAGCCGAAGGGAATGCCTGTCCTGACTGGCCCTCTGGGATCAGGCTGGTTGGTGGGTGCTGGATGAGACGCAGGAAACAGGCACCTCGTCTTCCTGCCGCGGATGAACTTGGCACAGTTCCTGCTGTTCCCTAACCTGGCTCCATCTCACAGCCCTTGGATAAAATGCCTGATGATCACTTTCCTTTCCTAAAATTTTTCAGAAATCGGTAGGGAAAGGATTCGAATGTGCAATCAAGAGCTGCTTTACGTTTTGCTCACCCCATGGGAATCCTAGGGTTTATCTCAGTCACTGTTTCCTTGGCTTTAGAAGTACCTGCCCCTCCCGCTTCATCCCTGTTTCCCCCAATCATTTGCTTCTCTTGCAACAAAAACACTTTCACTAGCTATTTCCTCAAGAGGCGTCAGGGTGGCAGGATTCAGATTTCTCAAGTGCGCGCCACAAGGGCGGTGCTACCTGAGCCTTCTCTCTGTCTCTGTGTCCACAAGTTCCAACCTGGCACGCCTATGCTTAGATGCCAGAAATATGACAAATATTCTGATAAGCCCATGGAATTTAAAACACAGGTCTGTTTCTGCACTGGCGAAGACTGTTCAGAAAGCTTTATGATGTTCAGTGCGCATGCAGGTCTGCCTCTAGCACCGCACCAAGCGTCCTGGAGATGCTGAGTTGCCCTTTACGGGATGAATTAATGGATCCCATTGTACTGTACTGTGACCGCTCCATTATGGTAGAATGAGCAGCCAGAGGGGAAATCAAGGCAAGAAGGAGGGAAGCCCTTGAAATTCTATGTACCTTTTCCATGATCGGGGAAAGAAAGCCTTTGAAACTGCGCTTCGCCTCAATGCCAGAAAGGCCCAAAAGTCTCCACAGTGCCCAAAGGAAGAAGCCCATTAACCCCTTTGTGGACTCACACCCCCTAAAAGCTGGCGCCACCTTTACTTGTCAATCGGTATGTAACCTCCTCACCCTCTCACTCCTTGTGCGCCAACGCTCTAAGTCCTCAGGACAAAGGGCTTGGTGCTCTTGGCTCTTGGCTCTCGGGCTGCCTGGCCAGGCTGCCCGGCCTCAGGCCACCCGGCCTCTGGCCACCCCAGCCCTCACCACCCCTGCGCTTGCCGCCCCCGCCTTTGGCCACCCTTACCCCGCTTCACCCTGAACCTACGCCTCTCAGCCCCCCACCGCCGTGTTCGTTAGGCCCGGTCTCTTCTCTGAAAACAGATCACCAATAAACACTGCTTGCACCTTAATAGACTGGCTGATCTTTAATTCTTTGCTGCATTGGTGAGAAGAACCAAGTTCCTGGGAGTTTCTCCCATAACAATATTATGGTATTTAGTGTAAAGAACTTCTTGTTTATACCTCTTAAAAATTTTTGTTCTCATGTTTAAGAAACTTAAAGTGAGGTTAACCTTTAATTTCCAGTTCAACCTTTGTGTGTATACGGGGTTCTATTTTTTTTTTTTTTTTTTTTTTGGCAATATAATGTAGCCAAAAAGAGCTTGGGATCAGGAATGAAACCCATTTCTGAATCCCAGTTCTGGCATCTTCTGAAGGTAATAATATACAATTTAAGGAGTTGCAATGATTTAAGAGGCCATGGTGGGGAATGGCAATGCGGGGGCGGGGGGGGGGTGTCCTTCCCACTTGGCCAAACTATCCACTGTGACACCAAGGTTGGGGTCTTTGTCCTTCTCTGGCATCAGGTTACTCATGGGCCACTGACTTCAGAGGCCAGAGAAAAAGAAAAGGAGCCGCATACCTCTGCTCAGCCAGGGCTCCTCCCTCCGTGCCCTGTCCTGACATAGCCACCTCATGCCTGGATACTCCTTAAAAATGTGCTCCTCTGCGTTAAATGCTGTTTTGGATTTCCTGCACCGGTGTAATGGACAGGCCTCTCTCACAAGGGCTGTTGCCGAAACGCTCGATCGGCGCCCTGAGTGGCGCAAAAACTCTCAGCAACTCCTGAAGATTTCAGGGCCTCTGAAACTGGCAAGAGTTTTGGGGAAATTTGTTTGCTGCATGATTAATCCTGGGTGGATTGGTCCCGGAAAAGCACATGTGGGTTTGCAGCAAGAGCAGCCTGCAGCGTTTCACCAAATAAGCCATCTAACTAACGGAAAGGCCCTGAAGGACGTGTTGTGGATGGAATTTCAGAGTGAGGGTGGGGCCTGACGACCAAGGACATCGCCAGATGTGTGGACAGCGGAGCGCCTTTGAACCCACTAACATCTAAAGGGACAGCACACGGGGCCAGATTATAAAACTGAACCGGACTGAAACACTGGAGGAGGGAGGCCCAGGAAGGAGTAAGATCCTAGGAGAAGGATAATAAAATTCATCACCATAATTACCCCCAGCCCTACTCCCCAAAGACAGCCAACAATAGCTCAGCTCAATGAGGTTATTCATCCATATGCAAGTCTCCTCACTCATTATCCTCAGACAAAGCCCCTTGGGGTCTCAACTCCCTGCCAGCAGGCCAGCAAATCAGCATCCACACACAACCGCCCCCCCCCCAGCCTGGGGGGCTTCTGTCTTTAGCAGTCCATGGCTGTCTTTTCAGACTAGGTTTACCGACACCCTTCAGGAGTAACTTCGACACTCAGGAACCGGCTTAAAAAATAATTACAGCTAACCCGTCCCTGGGGGCAAGCAGAGGACGCGCCCAGCTGCTGTCTTTCCTGAGCTGGGCTGGGATGGTGCTCAGTTTGGGGACCTCCCACATCTTGCCCTCCTGAGCACAAAATGGTGTCATTTTGCACCCCGTCTCGCCAAAAAGGAAATGTAACTGAAATGCAGAGTCGTGTATGTTGCCGTGAAAAGAGAAATGCCAAAGATAGGGCCACCCCGAATAGCCCGCGGGCCTGCGGAGAGCCACTCCAAGCAGACAGTGGCAGACAGTCGGCTCAGAACACTTAGAACACTACGCCCCATATCATTTCCCCAGGGCTGGGTATTTTTGTCCTGGGGAATTACAGAAGCCTAGGTTAGGTCCATTCCTCCTTCAAGCCACTCCCTCCCAGGATTCCTCTGGTATGGGGACTACCTTGGTCCTCGGTTTGGAAAACGTAAACTTCCCTTTCAGAGCACAGCTCAGCCACCTCCAGCTTCAAAGATCACTAGTTCAATTACAATTCCTTCAACCAATATTTAGTGAACAGCTACTATGCACCAGATGCCTTTGGGGCTCTGAGGATCCAGGCTAAGGCAGAGCTGTGTCCCTGGGAGCTCATAGTCTCTTGGGGGAAACAGACAATAAAAAACCAAGAAAAGGAATAAAATATTGACCCATGTTCCAGGATGCTACCAACTGGGCAGAAAAAGGCCAGGGATGAGAGAGAGGCTGTCCAGTAAGAAGAGGGAAAGGGAATGGAAAGACGCAGATGCCGGGACAGGCAGAGCTGTGGTCGTCCGAGCTAAGTATTTCAAGTCCGAGGAGTCACCACCGCCCCTGTGGTCATTGGCATCGTTGGCCAAGTTCAACACACAGCCCCAAACCAACTTCCATAAACCTCAGGCTCACAAGCATCCTTCATTCCCTCGTGCTACTCAGGAGCCCGTCGCTCCGTCCTTCCCACGCGATACAGAGGATCCCGGGGCCTCCCCCGGTGGAGGCGTCCCCACCGATGGGGTCCTGAGGGTGCCCAACGCGTGGGCACCCGGGGTGGGAGACCTTCGCTGCACAGGGGGAGCCCCCGCAGCACCCCAGCACTTCGGGGCGTCCCTGCCCGTGCGGTAAGGCCAGTCTCTCCGGAGGCCATGGGCATCCTATACACAGCCCCGCAGGAAAGCCCTGTCCTGGCAACCGAGGGCTCCTGGCTGCTAGCCGCCACCCTCTCCCTTGACAGGACAAGGAGTTGCGCTGCCTGTGAGAGACGCCCTCCCCTGTCCCCACTTCTGCTGACTGTGTGTTCGGGGGCTCCTCCTCGCGCCCGTGCGGCCCTTTCTTCGGGCCCTGGCACCAGCTAAGCCGCTGCCTCGACTTGTCCCGGGCCCTCCAGGCTGGGGCGCGCGCTCGCGCCCGGCTCCGGTCGGCTCCCCTGGGCAACCGCCAAAACCAGGCCCGGGCACCCCAGCAAGTCCCGGCTCGCAGGTCCCCGGCAGCCCCGGCACGGAGGCGCTCGCGCAGGGTCTTACCTCCTTCTGCCGGAACCCACAGCAGCGTCCTTCCCAAAACCAGCAGCAGGACTGGCACCTTCCACATCTTTTCAGGGAGCCGGTCCTCTGCGGGGCCGCGCGGCGACTCTCGGTGCCGGGGAAAGATGTAGCAGCTGTGCAGCCCCAGGCCCTCGGCGGCGGCCGAGCGCGAAAGAGGGGACTGGAAGGCGGGGAGCAAACGTCCCAGAGCAGGCGGGGTCCCCAAGTTTCCTCCGCCCGCGGCAGGCAGCGGAGCAAACTTTGCAGTTGGGAACTTGGGGAATGAAGTCAGCATTTATCTCGCCCAGCGAGGGCGGGCGCGCCCCGCTGTAAGGTGGTCTCGGGCCGGGGCTCGCTGGGACCGCCCTCCCGCTCTGTTTGGCCCGCGCGAAAACGATGACCTCAGGCCAGGTTTAAAGTTACAGGGCCGCAGCTGCGGGGCCGCCAGCCGCGCGGAGGCGCCCGGCCCGGAGAAGCTGGCTTCGACCGCGTTCCCCGGCCCGAGGGAAGGGAGCGCGTGCAATAAGCAATTTATTTTTCTTTTCATTAACTTCATTTATTCTGTTTTTTAAGCGCCAGGCACAAGGCTGGGTTTTTCTTCTTACGAGAAGTAAAGGGTTCCTTGTGTGGCCAGTCATTTTAGGACCGAGCCTGGGATTGCTCTTGTAAATATTGAATTGGATGGCTTAGGGAAAAAAAAAAAAAGAAAGAAAGACAAGAAAAGAAAAGAAAAAAGAAAAAGTGGCCGTCCTCCTCTGGGTTGGCCAAGAGGAGGTTTGCAACAGTAAACTGCACCGCTGTCCAGGAGGGACAGGAAGGGTGGGCTGGGGGCCTGCCTGAGAGGTGGCAGGCAGCTTGGTTGGCAGCGTTGGTGGCTGTGGCAGTTTCCGACGTGGCACTGTGATGCTGGCGCCCACGGGTGGGCGTGGGCAATTGGACGAAGCAGACAGCCCACCTGCTCACCAAACCTGTGTCCACTTCCAGGCAGGCGGGGCCCATCCCTTTAACCCTGGAGCTTGCCTGGAATCCCCATTCTTCTGGTTTAAGCAGTCTTACCCTGACCTCAGGTGCGGGCTGCAGCAGGAAGATAACTTAAAGTTTTTTACTTTATTTCCTTCTGAACTAGTGGGATGACTTTTGTTGTTGTTGAAGGAGAGGAGTTGGAACAGCGGCCTCTGCCTCACTCCCAGAGGCCACCGATTTCATTCAACAGAAAACCAGAGAAGCGAGCGCTTTAAAGCTCCATACCGGGGGTGAAAACTGGTTGTTTTCAGGTCTTTATCCTAGACTTACTCATCCAAATTTGCTTGATCAGAAGAGTCACAAGGGGAGGCTGCTATGAAGGCTCAGATCCAGACCCTTTGAGAAGTCACATTTTATGCCAGTGTCCCCGTGAGGCCAGAGTGAGGAGCTAGGGAAATTCCCTGGCAAGTGGGATAGGGAAACTGAGGCAGGTCGCAGCACACAATGGCCAAGCAATTGACAGCCAGGGACAGATGGTCACGAGGGCGGAAGGCCCCCCAGTGCCCGGCCGGGGAGTGGAACCGGGAGAAGAGGGGCCCCGCCGCCAGGGTGACGCCTCCTCCCCTCAGAGAACATCCGGGCCTCGGCCTGGCCGGGGTTCAGCACCAGGCTCAGAGGAGCCGGAGGAGCAGCAAAACCAGGTGCGGGATGCCAGGACCCACGGCGATGACTCGCGACCCCCTGCCCGGGCACTGACCCATCAGTGGGGACCACGACCCTGAAGGTGGCACCTGGAGAACTGATGGGCATTCCACTGGGCCCTCCCCCGAGACCTCCCTTAGGATTCCCGTCTGCAGGAGGGAGACAGAAACCTCAGGACAATTCCCTTTCCCTTCTCCTTCCACTTCTTTCCCCACAGGGACACGTCTCCTAAACGCTAAGGCTACGGCCAAGCTTGGTCCCAGGCCAACGCCCTGAACCTGTCCCCAAGCCCCCCTTTTCTCTGCCTTCCCAAGGGGCTCAGGCAGCCCAGCCTCGGCTCTCCTGTTGCTTCCTCTGTGCTGAGCCCTTCCTTGTTTCACTGTCCCCAGCTTTAGTGAACGCATCCTCACCGTCACCTGGATCCTGCATGGAGTCCAGAACCCACACGCTACAGCTGGTCCCCCACAGACCCACCCGGGGCCCGGCCCCTGCCCGGGAGCTCGTCCGCAGGGATGTTCAGTGTTGACTAAATGCAGGTGCAGCCTCTGTGGTTCTAGGGAGAGGAGAGGACCTTCCATTTCCAGAGATCTCCCAGGGGATGCCTGCCCTGGGCCTGTGCCTGAAGTAAGGAGAGAAAGGGTACCAGGAGTCAGGCTTGCAAGTGTGAAGAGAAAACTGGGGATAGAGGACTGACTTACCCATCTTGCCACTACCTTTTATTATTATTTTTGTTTGTCGCACAGACCGAATGGTGCAGGTCTTGCCTGTAGAGTCTGCTACATGGAGAAGGGATGCAAATCCACTCCAAAGTCAAGGAGGAAAGAAAAAGACCACCTTCTCTTGGAAATGGAGAGGAAATGAAGCCTAGGTGGGGGATGGGTTTAATGCAGCTAATTTAGAGGGTGCTTGGAGCCAGGTTATTGTTGAAGGAGATGAGTCCCCTTGTCCCGCGCCCCAGGTCCCTGCTCCCCAGGGATGTGTCTAGATGCTACCAGGTTGGTCACCTGACCCTGTAGTAGAGGACGGAGGAGGAGCAGGTCACAGGGTGTTGCATCCTGTTGGAAGCCACCCTGAGGGACGGGGAGAGGGGCTGGGACCCCGGAGTCTACAGACAGGGTCTGGGTGCTGTTGGTCTGAGTAACTGGGCAGAAAGGCTGAGCCAGGTTGAGGGTCCTTCCTCAACAATGCAAGCAGCAGAGAGGGGACCATGGGCTCAACACAGGGTTGGAGCCAGGGCGCACCTGAGCGACTCGGGGTAGGTAAAGAGGTGGCAGTGAGTTGAGTGGGGATTGGACACCTGAGACCAACCCAGAAGAGAGAAAGATGTGAACAAGAAGGGAACATGCGAGAAGATTCCTCCATCTCGAGAAACAGCCTGTGCCCCTGAAGTGGTGACTAGTGAGCTAACAGTGACGTTTGTCCTGCACACCAGGAACTCTGGGAACCGGCACTATCTCACTGACTCCTCCAAACAACCCTGGGTTAAGAACACTGATAGCACTCATTTTATGAATGGAGACATGGGTTTCCAAAGCAAAGTAGTTTCCAAAGGAGTGTACATCTGATCGGCCAGAGTGGGACCTGAGAATTTGAATGTCTAAGTTCACAGGTGCTGCTACAGCTGGTCCTGGGGCCCCACTTTGAGAACCACTGGTTTAGAACCAAGTTGTCCGACGAGTGGTCATGGCAGGTCTAGGGCTCTGTTGCTTAAGGCTCTGGAGGGAGAGGTCTGTAAGTTCCTTTCAGGGAGCAGGAGCCCTGCTCCCCAGGGTTGAGGGAGAAGGAGAGGAACCAGAGCATCTAGCCCAGGGCCACCCGTGGTGCAGGGATGCCAGAGAATTCATGTCAGGATCTCCTGGAGCAATAAATAGGTCCGGCTGCCTGGGGAAGGTTTCTCAGCATCTCCCCTTGCTTCTGGACACACCCTGCTCCAGAGCTGAGACGGTAACAGATGAACTAAAGCCCTGAGGCTAAAGGCATCTCTGAGACTCAGGAATAAATCACGCACTTAGGAGTATGAGCCGGACCCAAAATGTATTCAGCAGGAAGCAAACCAGGCTGGGCGTGGGGATGAGGGTAGGGCACGGCCCTCGGACTGAAGGAACCCATAAGGGCTTGGTTTGCTAGAAAACACCTCAGTGTTCTGGAATCAAAATTCAGCTCCATGGTGGCCTTGGGCCACGCAAACCTCAGTTTCTTGCTTCTTTAAAATGGGCGTGTTACTCCTGCTTTGGAAGGTTCTATGCCCAGTGAGGAGTGTGACTGCTAGACTTAAAAAAAAAAAAATGATGTGCATTTATTAATTTTTCATTATAAATATATGCATTCATTAAAGGAAATGCGGAAAACAGGAAAGTAGAAAAATTATCATATGCCCAGATTTTTGTTTGTGTTTGTTTGCAACTTTTTATTTTGATATAATTTCAAACTGGGAGAAAAGTTGAAGTAGTCACAGTGCCCCCACGCGCCATTGTATCCATCTTTACCAATTTGTTTATATTTTGCCCCATATGCTTCATCCTTATCTCTACATTGATATACATTTACGTATCGGTCTTGTTCTGACTCACTTGAGCGTCTTGATGACTCATGCCCCCAGCCCTAACTACTCGGGGGTGAGTTTCCCAAGGACATTCGCCTTCGTAGCCTCAGTAGGAATTGCAAAATTTAATATTAAAACAAGCTGTGGTCTAATCCACACTCCATATTCAAAATCTGACAATTTTCCCAATGATGCCCTTGATAGATTTTTAGTCTCCAGAATCTAATTCAGGATCACACTTGGCCCTGGCTGGCATTGTCCTCAGAAGAATCCAGGACTCTGCCTCAGGCTTTCCTGGTGTTTCTTGAACTGAGTGCTATTTGAAGACCACAGGCTGGTATACTTTATAGACCGTCCTTCAGTGTGGGTCTGTCTGCTCTTCCTCACGGTTAGAGTCAGGCATGCGTTTTTGGCTGGACATTGTGATGTTCTATTTTCTCAGTTAAGAGGCTCGGGATGTCACTTCCCAATGCACGGGGGTGTTAACTTTGTCCCCTTGGTTAAGGTGATCTAATCCTGAGCTCGGAACACCCCACCTTAACCCTTAACAGCAGGTATGCAAAACAGGGAGATACCATGTTTCCTGTAGGCACCCTGGGACAAAAGAGTTTTTTCACCCGGGGAAAAAGTTCCACATTCGGACTTGGGATGGATCAGGAGCTGCCCTTCTTTACAAATGGGAGAAGGGTTGTGGCGAAGGGCCCGCGCTCTCCAGGCAGCTAGAGAGGAAAGCTTATGCCCGTGGAGGATTTGAGACACTGACCCCTTTCTGACACGCCCCTGGATGAGTCCGTACGTCCCCTGTTTGAAGACCCCTGTCCTTTCCCCCTGCCTGGCCGGACCTCCCCGCAGCTTCGCTTCGGGCCACCTCCTCCATCCTGCTGCAGTTTAAGGGCCGTGCCCAGAGTGCACTGACACACTCACCCTCGCGCCCCACCTCTGGGGCGTGCTCCTCAAGTATTTGTGGGAGGAGAGCTCGGGATTTCATCTGACCCGCTAGAAGATCCTTGCCATTGAGGACCCTCACCAAACCCCCAGCCCAGCCCAGCCCAGCCCAGCCCAGCCCAGAGACTGAGTCAATGCCACAGAACGTGCCTCAGGCCAGCCGGACTCTGCAAAGACAAAACCAAAAGCAAGGGGTGGCTTCTGCGATCTGTGCATGCTGGCAAATTCCTG